CTTAGCAATATCGAGGTAGTACATGCCTAGCAACATGTCAAATGGCAAGTCGTTACTAACCAAGAACGAGATCTTATGGTTAAGCTCACCTCATCCATAAGAGAAGGTACAGACTACGTCCTTGAGGTAGTCTGTGACAATCATGCGCTCTTTGTTGGCCAAAGTAGATGCTACTGGTCTACTAAGGTGCCGTACCCGGTCCTGTAGGTGCAGCCTTTCCAAACAGTCGCGACTTATGTAATTTCGCGTGGAGCCTGTGTCTATGAAGGCACCACATTTGCGGCCTCCTACATCCACTTCCACAACGAAATGTTCCCCTCTAGGACCCTTCTTTAGCGCCACCCAAGACTYGTGAGGATCCTTGTTTGACCATTCGCCTTCTAAGTCTTCTAAGGCCTCAGACACATCTAACGTACAAAGCATAGTTTGGTCTAGATACGTCTGCGGGGTAGCTAAGGAGTCATTAGCTTCGGCCTTGTCATGAAAGTGAGGAGGGTATCATTCCCACTTCATCTTGAGTAGAATCCGCTATTACTTCCACTGGCCCTACGCGTTTCCCGAGCTAGATGCCTGGGAATAAGTTGCCCCAACCTTTCGTGCAACCTTTTGCGTAACCTTCGCATTCTGACACTTCCACTGCGTGTGTCCGTATTCACCGCAGTTGATGAAAGCGCCACGCGATCGGCGGTCACGCCACACGTCTTGGTCAAGACCTGCCTTTTCCCACTCAGCCTGTTTGGTCTGATTGGAGGCGGCCTTTCCTTGACTCCTAGGTTTACCCTTACCTCGGCCACCTACCTTAGTCTTTACTACCACGGCGAGGGTGCTACCCTCAGCTACCCCCTCGCTGTCACACTCTGAATAGTCCACTAGGTCAGAGAGTTCGTCGATTTCAGTTTGGGTCCCATCTGACTCAACCAGCATCAACTTCGCCCCCTTCTTCTTCCACTCCTGAGGACTCTTCTTCTTCTTTGAGTCGTTCCCTGAGGTGGGTTGAGCATTGCCTAGTGTTGCCTCTAAGTCTAAGGCCTTCCTAGACAATGTCTCAAACGAGTGGTACTCGGTGCGTGCCTCACTGGCCAGTAAGTTCCTGATGTTCTCTGGAAGACATCTAACAAAAGTTGTTAACAGGAACTCGTCACTGTAGTTGATACCCGGGATGAGGATCAGACCCTCTACGGTAGTCGTAAGCTCCCTAACTGACCTCAACTTGCGTTGGTCAAGTTTGTTAATGGCATTAGTGGCCCTTTGAGCCTCCTGTGGGCTATGCCATCGAGCTTCTACCATCTCCATGAATTGGTCCAAGGTCAAAGACTTAGCCCAATCCACCATGCGTCGCCCGTACCCGGCCTTCACAACTACACCATCTAGCCACTTGGCTGCTTTACCCTCTAGGTAAGATGCCGCAGTTACCACCTCATCCTTTGGCAAGGTCCTTTTGGCCTTCACCCAAACCGGGACTGTCCTCAACCATATGTTGAGTTCCTCGTCCTTTCTCTCGYCTGAGAAGGCAAGAGGCGGTTTCATTGGGGTCTTGGGGTACCATTGACCTTGCTGCTGTCCAGATTGCTGAACAGGTTGTTGTGGTGATGTAGCATTCACCACTGGACCCAAAGAAGAAGACGCAACAGTCTGCGAGACTGTTGCAAACGTACCACTTGGCTGTGTGCCAGCTTGTAAGGGAAAGGGACCCTGTCCACATGCGCATGCAGTGACAGCATGTTGTTCCTCAACACTTTCATGGGCTCGTCCATTCCTGAATCGTCCAAGCCCTCCAACTCAGCCTTGTCAGTCTCTAGAGTATCAAGCCTGGCTGTTCAATTTTTGATCTCCTTTTCTCTGTCGGTAGCCTGTTTCAGTTCCCTCTCTAATCTTTCACGGATCCTTTCGACATGTTGAAGCTCCCTGAGCTCCCTCTCGCGAGGAGTCAATGGGCTGAACTGCATGCCCATCATTTGACTTGTAGACGGCCTAGACCCTAGTAAAGTGGAGATACCCAGTGACCCCGTTGGCATTCCCAACTGGGTTCCTGACGAGGACGCAACCGTAGTTGCAGCAGAGGTTGCTGCTGCGGTAGCCATTGCTGTTGTCGTGGATGCTGCGGCAGCATGCTCCCTAGCTGCAAGGTTTGCTGCTTCTCTCGATGCTGCGAGAGCACGGGCTCTACGTTCGGCACGAAGCCGTCTTTCTTCTCCCTCGTCTAGAGTCCTGAACACGTACGGGATCCTTCTTGATCTTGCACGTGTAAGTCTACTATCGTCAACTCCCTCCTTGTCGACGTCTGACCCGTTCATGAATTAGGCAAACATTGTCTGCACTAGAACTCCCTAATGGAATCCTACCACAGCATGTGTCTAACCGGCACCTAATTTTCTAATAATGGTTGTGTGCGGCAATTCCTCTACTGTACCGATCAAGTGGCATGTCTACAACATTCACACAGTTTGGTCTACATGGTTTAAATGCACTTTGACTTGTTCGCTTACAACAACATTAGTTAGAACTGGCTATGGTAGCATACAACAATCCTACACTAAATCTGTCTCTGAGGTGTTAGCAGTCTGTCCAATAACTAATCAAAGGTACAAAAAGACAATGTAGCAGATGTATGATTGATGGGTATGGTTGTGTATACAGTTGAGCACCAATTAGAACCTACCCTCCCCTCCATCCAACATACTGAACAGCATCATTGAGCGAGCAGTGTCTTCGTGTGTGAATCGGCCCACCCCTGTGCCCAAGTTGTCACCGAGCAAGCCAGCCCAACCACTCTTATTTACCCTCGTACGGCGACGAGCCTTCCTGTCCATGTGATCTGGCTGATCAGGAGGGATTTATAGAGTGCCCCCATCTCTTCAGGAATTATTTAACGTCGCAGTCAGGACGACGATCACAGCCAGAATCACAATGAACTCCCAACCAGAAATGTTTATAGACGGTCTGGTAAGCGTCTGTCATGGGCTGGCACACCCGGAGGAGCTTCTATCAGCGCAGCAACTGCCAAACAAGACAGCAGCCATCGCATGCGTGCACTACTCCCTGTGGGTTGGCATGGTGACCGTGACCCAAGTGCTTCGACCAGGGCCCTTCAGAGGCACCGCCCTTTCTCCTTCCAATATGCTTCCGGAAAGATTGTCGTCTCTCAAGGTAGTGCGCTCACGACACCTCACCAAAAGAGAGGACTCTCAAGTTGGACTCACTTCCTCACGGTAAGAAGAGATTGAGAGAGTAGATAAGGTAAGGGAACAACGTACCTGGAGATAGCTGCCCCCAACCACATATTTCTCACCAATTGAGCTGATGTTGCATTTGATGACCGGTCATGACYTCGGTACCACCCACAACGCAATGCGATGCCACCTTAGTCCAATGTCACATCAGCATGCTCTCATCACCAATCAAACCTTCCGCTGTATCCCACGGCTAATAATGTCGTTCAATAGCCTTCCGGTGCACCCCTCTCTACCYAGGGCGTGCACCTAGCGTAGCCTGACGTCACAAGTACCCACTGCGAAGAAGCATCATCAACGCACCAAGTCTGTATAACGCCAGCATGCCAAAGGTAAGT